TGGTTGGTTGGTTGGTTGGTTGATAGGGTTGATCGGTTGGTTGATTGATATGATTGGTCGGTTGGTTGGTTGATATGATTGGTTAGTTATTTCACAGCAATGATTTCTTACAGTATTATCACATTTATTTTCATTCACGACCTTTTGAGACAAATCCACGTGCTCTAACAGAACTCGTTAGCAGTTGTTTTTTAATCATTTATTCAGATGTTTATGAAAAAGAAATGTGGATAATTAATCAATACTTCTCAACATTTAATTCTGTTGAAGAAGATTCATTTATCGTGGTCAATTCACTGATTATAATTAACAAATAATATTTTCCTCTATCCAGATGTTTGAATTACTTCCGCTTTTGAACAAAAATGGGGGGTTTCTGTGGGATTCGCTGATCGCATTTGAAAACGGGAATTTGATCAACGTTTCCGTTGCTTTAGCAGCCGGTGTGGCGCTAGTTGGTGAACTCGAAGTGATGAGTTACAATTTCGATATAATCTGCTTTAAACACTGCGACGATCGTTCAATATTCTGCAGAGAAATTCCTGGAAGATGTCCGGTATGTTCAGAAGTCCTAACGGATTTCTCACAGACTCCCTTTCAATTGCCAAGTCCATTTTCAAATGGAACTGACAAACCCACGTCTGTAATCATCAAACCATCATCAGGGATCTTCCTGGACACCTGCTACACTCCGGAAAACGATCTTCACATCGGAATCGTCGACTCGAAAGGCCGAATATTCGAATATGATCAACGGGGCCTGGTCTTCAACGACCTCAGCAACTGGAGACACTGCATATCCCTGGACCCAAGGGTTCCGGAATCCTGGTACGAGCATTGGGATAAGATCATTATCGATTTATCGAGAAATCCCCAGTGGAACCAATCGAATTATCACCCATTGGAGTTCAACTGCTTCGATTTTGTACTGGAATTCATAAAAAATCTTGGTTGCAACGATTTTTATTATGGGAGCAAAGAAGATATTTGTAGGGATCTCATCATACCCAGGATGAGGGAGTCCCTGAGATACATATCGATTCATAATAATTTAAGGGAAACCAATTACTATATTCCATAATAAATAGAAAAATAATGTGAAAATTTTGAATATATGCTGAAGTTCTGTCAAAGGGAAAAGTCTCTAGCTACGTCCCACGTGATTAACAGAAAATAATTAATTTTCTCTGGCTGAGAAACAATGAGTTATAATTTTATAATTTTATGATCAATTTGTATAAATGAAATTGTATGATTTAGTAAAAATATAATGCAATTTTTTCATTAGTTGAATGAATCTGTTATTGGAATATTCTAGATAGTTAGGATAATGACCAGATTATTTGAACCTTTGAGAAGTAAAATGCTCATCAATTTATTCAATTGACGTCAATTATTCTGTTTATTGCACGCACATCGGATTTTATAATTCTTGACCTTCTCCAAGGCGCCGCAATGGCGCCTCAGTGTTTGTTTTGCCTTGTGAGCCATGGCGTTGAGGTTTATTCGTCGTTGATATAATTATTGTAAATATTCGTTTGACAAATTGTTGGTAAATAATCAGAATGGGAGAGCTAAATCTCGATGACTGCTTCTGTCGAGATATTTCACAGAAGGTGAGAAATTATCAATCTCATTAAAATAAATAAGAAATTGTCCTTGGAGGGTTAGACCTCTAGAGACTCTTCGTGCGATTGAAGTAATTAAAAAAAATTATGTCCGATAGTTCAATGAGCAGAACCTCCAGTACATTCTGTCCAACCACGGGGATATCGAGTTGACGATGATGAATGACAGGATAAGTGTTACCTTCAAAAATAAAAATCACCTCATACAGTGAGTACCAATAAAAACAAAATATTGATAATTACTCCCCCAATAAAGTGTGTAATTCGAAACTGTTTTGAATAAAAACTCTTGAATTGTGTTGATTCACGTTTTCAAAACGTGAGGCAGAAATTTTCACAATATATTCCGTGTTTACAATATTATTTTTCGAAATATATATGATACCTGCTTATTTTATTCTATTCTATTGTATTCTATAAATTATAAATCATAAACAAAAAAATGAACCGTAATTTGTAATTTATTATTTTCATTGTCTTCTGGTATTTTATTATTTGATGTTATCTTTTTATGCATTTTTCGATAATGTTCTAGGTCTTTATTAACAGCTGAGCATAAAATCAGTCAACTACGAAAAAATTACTCACCGATTGATAAACTATCGGATGATTGTCTCGCGAAAATTTTCTCGTGCCTGCCCATACCTCAGAGATTGGCGATTGAAAAAGGTACTACATTCAATTGTGGTAATTACATATTGCATGAGTTTAAATACTAAACAATGGAATTCTAGTGTGTAGACGTTGGAGAAAAATAGGTCGCGCTGGCTGGCCAAACGTGAAACAACTCATCTGGAAATGCGAGTACAGTAAATTCAGCAGAAAGGAAGTGGAGGAGATATTCGAAAGATCAGGTCGTTATCTAAGGCACCTGGACATTCCAGTGGAGAACGAACGTCAGAGTTACTTGTTAGTGGTTCAAAGGCACTGCGAGCAATTGGAGAAATTGAAAATAACATTTCCCAAGAGGCCAATCAGGGAGTACAATGGCGCCTTATCTAGAATATTCCAGCATTGTAAAAAACTGTCGTCCATAATTATTCACAATGTGCATTCTGACTTCACGTACGATTGTTTCGAGGAATTAAAACCAGAAATAGTGACGGAAATTCAGCTGGTGGTGGCGGATTCAGACGTGAGAAACACGAGAGCTTCGATGGTCAGTATATCATTGAACGGTTATATTTTTTGAATAATAAACTTGAGATTGATTATTTTATTCAACAGAATGTATCGAAATTTCGGTCTTTGAGACGTTTGAAATTCTGCAAATTCGTCCTCGGAACTGAAGATCTAATTGGGCTCGATCAACTAGAAAATTTAACGTCCCTCGATCTTCGTTATTGCTGGGTCGACAACAGTCAGATCATGAAGATATCTAATCTACAGAAACTCGAGTACTTGTCCCTCGAAGAGACAGCCTTTGCTATTCGCGATCATCACATGTCGAGGATTGCGAAGAACTGCAAAAACTTGAAGACGTTAATTCTATACAGTGAGTAAAAACTCAATTTGTTTGAGAAAAACTCAAACATATATTTGGAATATTCCATAGTTTTTCACATTCCCATCAGTTTTTTAAATAATCAATCTGATTAATTAATGTCTTCAAGATCGCTATGGAGAACTGTCTGACGACTCCTTCAAGGACATCGCCAGGCTACAACACCTGGAGATCTTGAACATGGCGTTCATAACGGGCGTGAGTGACTGTACGATATCAGGAATGCATAGTCTAATACAACTGGATTGTCGAGGATGCGAGGGAATAGGAAACGACGGTTTGATCGACCTCATAAAATGTGCCTCGAATCTCCAGAAGATCTGGGTCAGCTGGACGTCGATAAATCAGCATTTCCTAGAGGAAGCCAACGAGGCTATGAAGAAACGAACGAGTGGTGTAGCTCTGATCCTGGAGCTAGATCCTGCCCAGAAAAAGTGGAAAAAACCAGAGAATCTGTCGCCATTGCTCATTCTCTCTGACAACTGGTATCAGTAGGATATTCAAATCGTCAATCCTCCGTACACCAAATATGATAATTTTATCGTACTCTAGGCTCATTAACTGACTAATTAATTAATTGAAAAGTGATATAGGACAAGTTCAACTAGTTGAGAAAAATGGAAAACATATATTTCTGTATGAAAAGTGATTAGGTAAGAGATTCGAGGGTACAAATAAACCTCTACTAACATTTTCAAATGATTATGGTGATTTTTGTTTTTATTATCGTGTGAGGGAGTTGTTTTACTGTGAAACGTCAGACATGTAGATATGAAGTGTCTTTAATTAGAGTAACCTTAATTCATCAGTGAAATGAATCTAGAGCGAACATGAGAATTGAATAGTGCTCTTTGGTACGACGTTGCAGACCTGGGTAAAATATTATTTTTATTATTGAAATACTCGTTAAGGGAGAATTTAAAATTTACACACTATTAGAATTTCCGTAAAATACATTTTTTAAATAACACCAATATTTGATAAGTATTCGAGAATAATTGGGAGCAAGTCAACACAATAACCATTTCTCGAACTAATAAAATTAATATCGTTTCAAATAATGTGAGACCTGTCACCGATCACACTAATAATCCCCAGTCCCTCACTTTTCCCTCATTTCGGTTGTATTTATTAGAATGACGTAGGAGGCCTCGAAGGTGCATAACAGTAAAAATAAAAAGAATAATAATTTTTATAATAGTTGTTCTATTGGTCAGCTCTCTCTGGGCGATCATAGAAAATATTTCCACCTAGTTTGAATGGAATGGAATGGCAAGTACTGGAACGGTGTACTCCTGGAGGAAGTGGACGACGAGGGAGAGTTAAATTATCCAGACTGGAAGTCCAATCTGACAATCGTCGAACTTCCAACCGAGTGCATTTTGAAGATATTTTCGTATCTCTCGATTCCCGAAAAATTCAGTCTCGAAGATGGTATTTATGAAAAGATATTCTTCAATTAGTAACATATTTCCTGGTCTACTAACTTGTGGCAATCATCAACGAAATGATTGCAGTGTGTCTCAGGTGGAGAGAAATAAGTGAAAATGGATGGCCAGACGTTAAAAGACTTTTCATAAGATCGACTTATCCTCGATTCACCGCTGCCGAGATCGAGATAATTTTCAGACGATGTGGGAGGTTTCTTAAATCTATGAGGATCGACCTGGAGGACGAGAGGACTAACTACTTGCATTTCATCCAAAAATACTGCAGAAACCTGAAAGAACTTGAGATAGATTTCGTGCAGATCAATTGGCGGACGATAGTGACTCTTTATTATGTGGATTATTTCTCAAGGGTTTACGAGACCTGTAGGGATCTCCGGTCTATTAAAATATTGTCTCTCAAGTCTAATTTTACTGATGCTTATGTCATGAATTTGCGATGCGAAATTGTGGAGACAATTCACTTGACCGTTGGAGCACATGGCGTGCATTTTTCTCTGGTAAAAATCGCAATTTACCGTCATTTTGTCCATTTACTTGTTATATTTTCAAGTGAAATATTGATAATCCTGAGAAAATGTTATTTATGTTTGTAGAATTTATCGAGATTCAGAAATCTGCGCTGTCTGAATCTCGAGAGGTTCATTATTGAAGAAAATAGTTTGGGAGGATTTGACCGGTTGCAGCATTTGGAGGAATTATATTTTTCATTCTGCAATGTTCATGTGAGTTATATAGAGAGTATCAGGAAATTTAAGAAACTGGAGAAATTGTGGATGAATGGAACAATCAGTGAGATTCGAGATGATCATCTGTCGATGATCGTCAGTCATTGCAAGAGACTGAAAATTCTCAATGTGGACGGTAAGTTTCACCCCTAATTATATTGATAACGAGCCGTTCTAGAAGAAAAATTCATAGGACATTTTTTGTAGCTGATAAAATTTACCAAGAAAAATGTCTTCTGATATTTCTCCTACCGCCACTCATTGCGGAGATAATGAAGATCATATTGAATCAATGGAACTCAATAGCTTCGTAATTCTCTGAATATCTCTGAAATTAGTGGCTTTAGAAGAAAAGTCTCAGGAGCTTCTTTGGAGATAATGAAATTTCTTACAAAAATGATTCATAAGATTTTCCTGTGGAATCACCCACTGCAGAGATAAACACGCTTGAATGTAGCCAGTTATCGAAAATTTCAATTTTGCGAACAGGTCTTCGGGGATTAACGGATCGTTGCTTCCGGGACGTATCGCAATTGCCGATTCTCGAGGAATTACACATGATGAATCTATCCCGAGTGACTGATGATTCTATAGCGAATATGAAAACATTGAAGACCCTGAGCTGTCCTCAGTGCCCAGGAATCGGTAACGATGGACTGAAACGATTGATCCAGGGCGCCCCAAATCTACGGTTTCTATCTGCACGACGAACATCGGTAAACAAAAATTTTCTAACTGACGCTAATGAGGCGATACAATCTCGTCAGAGCGACGTGGAACTGTTTCTTGATCTCGGGGCTGAGGCTTACACATGGCAGGTGCCAACAAATTTCTCTTCACTCTTAATTTTGGAAGGAAGCACGAAGTAAATACAGACGGGGGGCAATGCAAATATTTGTTTTGATAACAAAACAGACAGACAGTGATAAAAGAATTACAAATAAAATTTCAAACCAACATCAACACTTTCCACAATCACTCAATTATATCAACCTTTTCATTATTTTATCCGCAGAATAAGCATTCTCGAAGGTAAACAAATATTTAGTAAAATTATCACGGAAAATTGTGTAAGATTATATTTGTTGTGAATTCATTTTACATTTTAGCGTTATAAGATTCACAAATAAATTCACTGTCATTAAATTTCGCTGTTTAATCGTTCAAACAGGCAATCGCGCTGTTTCACTAGTGAGAAATAACGTATAAAAATGCCAATTTCTCATTACATTAAGTAGGTAAGTTTAATTTAGTTAGAACTATATCAGATGGTTATTCTGGTGTTCAGTCCTCTTTTGTGCATCTCGCGAATAGACGGATTTATTGGGTCAAGTGAATGAGCACCTTTCAAACTCAATTGCACTGTTACACTCGTGCAATGAAAATAAAATGCAGACGCGTAATGAGGGACGATGGGAGGGACTAGATCGTACAGTTTCGAAAAAATCATTGCTGTTGATGGCTTGACTTGTGGATTGGTAAAATGTGATAGAAAAAAAACACATCCGTTAGTCAAGTAAACCTCAATATTTTTCATAATTTTTGGGGTGAAATGAATTCCGGAATTTCCTTTAAGACAATTGATTCAATCATTTCATTATAAAAATCATCAACACGTAATCGCAGCCCTTCACTTTTTTTCGATTTCAATCAATGAATTCAAACGTTTCAATATCTTTCATCTCGACGATCAGGTAATCAATCACTGAATCGGGCAGTGTTTTTTTTTCTCATATTATGAGGTACTTTTTTATGTTTCATTTGGTTAATTACATTTATGCAAAATAATGTTGAAATTAGCCACATAAGATGACATATGCATTAAGCTTTCATCACAAAAATTCTAGTTAAACTGGCACGAGTTTATATAGACGCTTTTTCTTATTTTCAATCAAAAATAAATAAAGAATATAAAATAGAAAATAAAGAAAATACGAGAGGATAGAGAGAGAGAGTGAAAGAGAGAGAGAGTTAACAGCACCGATTCGAACTTCTTTCTACTCTACGATCGACAGTCACACGGTCTGGTGCGTCCTGGGGTTCTTTTCCATGGGTTTTATCCAGAATAGCCTCAGCGAGCTCACTAAATGCACGATCAATATTGATATTTGCCTTTGCTGAGGTCTCCATGAATCTGATGCCGTGCTCTCTTGCTATCTGTAAATTTTTACAATAAAAACAAATTAATGCGCTTATCGGTCAATCGAAAAAAAATCAGTATAACCTTCTTTCAAGTCTGTTTTACACTATAGATATAGATATAGATATATATATATATATCTATATATATATTAGTCCTTAATGAATTAAAGAGATTATTTTCAATTGATGAAATGAAAAATATGACATTTTCAAATCTGATTATAGGCAAATTCTAATTGAATATTTCAAGCTAATAGATATTATCAACCAAAATTTCATGTCGCATTTTCCCACTTTATCAATTAATTAATCCGTGGGAATAGGTACTCACGGCTTCTCCTCTCTCTGTACTGACAACACGTCTGTCTTCCATATCACTTTTGTTTCCCAAGATCATCTTCTCGACGTCTTCATTCGCGTGCTGAAATGAATTTTAAGATTAATTGGGAGTATCGATGGATTTGACAGAAAAAAAAATGAATTGGCAAGCATATGCACCTCATCGATGTTTCTCAACCATTTGACGATATTCTCGAAGGTCTTTTCATTCGTTATATCGTATACTAGCATTATTCCCATTGCTCCTCGGTAGTAAGATGTTGTGATTGTGTGGAAACGCTCCTGTCCTGCTGTGTCCCTTTGTTTAAATTCAAAACAATTCGTTACTATATTAATTATTGAAATGACATCAGTGACTAGTCAATTTTAATTGGTAAAATGATCTTTTTTATGAGAAGACGTGTACCAACTTTTTTGAATATTTTCTCAACAGGCAGGAACATTAAATTCGAATTCTTTCATAATATCACTCACCATATCTGTAGTTTGATTTTTTTACCCCTGAGTTCCACTGTTTTTATCTTAAAATCAATTCCTAGAACGGAAAAAAGTCAATAATTATCAGGAATCCACAGTTAGAGCAATCAATTTTTCTATATTATATACTAGTTGTCAACACTTTCTCAGGGGAAAATTCCAGACAATTCTAACCTAGCAGCGGATGAAACCCATCGTTTTATGCATAAACAATTAATTCTAAAAATAACAGTGTTCACATTTTAAGGGGGAAGTCACCAAAACCCCGAGACGTTCAGCAAGACGTCCAAAGAATATTAAAAACGGGGTATGCCCTCCCAACTAATTGTCGATAATCAGAACTAATAAAAAAAAATCCCCCAATGCACTCACCTATCGTTGAGATAAAAGTTGTCGAAAAAGCATCATCAGAAAATCTGAACAATATACACGTTTTTCCAACGCCCGAGTCTCCAATTAGAAGTAGTTTGAACAATAGATCGTACGTTTTTTTCGCCATCTTAATCACTGGTTTGATGTACCTTGAAAGACAAAAGATCAACTGACAAATTTGCTTTAATTATCTTCAATGAAAGTGCCATAATCAGGGATAACTCACCGAAAAAAGACAATGTCTTAAATTCAAGGTCGAGGGAGGGCGCGTCTTTGTAAGATTTACAACAACGCAGAAAATACGTAGGCGTTGAATTAAGACCCCGACGGACGGACAAGTTGAACTTTGCCAATGAGTTTGTGGTAAGGGAGTAAAAAACACAAAAACGCAGTCAGTCGGGCGCCTGAGATGTTGAGTTTTGCACACCAATACCACTGCCAAGTCTAGGAATACATTCTTGGTATAAACTCTGTGGGCTGTTAATCGGGTGCTGGAACTATTCCCTCACCCAGACACTGAGACACCCAGTGATGCCAGGTGCTAGAACCACTGCGTCGCATTTTACGCGCAGATTTTGGCGGTTCGCTTGAACCCACAACGCGAATAACCTACGAAACCCAATGCAATTTCAAACATTCAATTGAAATTTCCATTAGTTTTTTCATTTATTTGAAATATTTGGGAGTAAACATCAACAGCTGGTGCTGGCATCTTCATTTTATGTGATAGACAAGTGGAAAATAATTTGGTAAATAATATAGAATAATTGGAAGTGGTTGTAATTGTTGTTGAGGTTTGTTCGAGAGGTTCGAGGACGTTTGTGGTATGACAATTGTGTGATTCAGCTTTTCTCATGTTTAAGATTTAATTTGGAGTACTTGGAAGTGACTGGTATGGAGAAATATTTTTTGAAAATACTTTTTGAAAATTCTATCTTGTGGTAACAGTGTCAAAAAATGGGGAGAATATCGAGTCATCGGTATGAGATATATTTTTTTTATGGATGCATTGCGATTTAATTCTAGTTTTTTACTTACAGTGACAAGAAGGTTTTCTAAAAGAGTTAGAAAATCAGTTACCACGGAGCTACCGGAAGTGGTTTGAGAAAGACTCGATTAGATATTAATCCTCTGGGTGATAATCAAACGGGAGTGTAAAAGTTAGGATATTCGTTGTCCTGAATAAAATATTTCACTGTTGTAATATATTGAGGTGTTCCTCTGGAATCAATCGGCGAAAACCTGAAAATTCGTGGACATCTTGGATAATTTAACTACAAAATATTCATTAACATCAATCCAATCACCATTCCATTGCATATATTTATTTTGATTCATTATTGTACACTATACAGGTTCAGTAAATATTTAATCTGCATTTATCTCCGCGTCAATTCACGATTCTGAGTTTTAAAACTCTAAAGTTTACTTGGAAAATGGCAGTAGTGCTCAAACGTACAATAAGACCCAAAAAGATAGTGGCAGTTTAGATCGAGCTATTTATTCAAAATTCAATTGTTATTGAAAATGTCAATTTAGTCTTGGAATCAACGTTCAACACTTTATGCATTTATCACTGCATCTCTCAATATACCAGCTAAATCCATTCGAAAAAATTGGTAAACACTTTTTACTACTCGAGATGTTGGGGCCAAGAGGGCAAAATGGACGCCAGACATTATTTCAACAGAATAATTCATTTATCTTCAAAAGGAATGTTATTTATTCCATTATCGCAACAAGCAGAATTTTATAGCTTTGTTTATTGTTGATTTATGTGGAAACTAGTGATTTCCGGAGAAATCGTCAAAAGATCTTAATTGTTGAAAATTTAATCAGCTACAAAAAAGTCTCTTGAGGTTTTCTCCCCCGGATCGATAGTCTTCATGATAAATCTATAATTGATGAAAATGTCAAATTCCACTCGTCTCAGTTTATTGTAATGACTTTATTGTTGTAATTTCATCAATTCATTTCTCAGTTATGAATATTTTATTGAAATGTCTGGAGTCTCGAGTTTGTCCTACTAGTGGCGATAATTTATCAGTGAATATCCCATTTTCGCTCGCCACACTGAGGAATAAATAATATTCTCAATCAAGTTTGAAAAAAATTGTTTGAAGAAATGATTTTTCCTCAGTGCAATCCCAGGGCATTATCCTCTTGATTCACCTGCGCGATTTTTTGGGTCTCAGGGTTATTAGCACTATCATCGATAAAGCACACTGAGACATTGCCCTAATACTCCAATAATAAATAAACATAAATCAAAACATCACAATAAACAGAATAATCAAATGTTTTGATTTAATTCATCATCTATATATGAAGTCTCTTAATGCGACATTAACAATCCACTAGATAGGACTGCATCTTTGATCAATTCACTTCGTACTATCTCAATAACTAAATATTAATCCTCACGATAACAATTTTCTTCATATTCTTTCCACTAAAATCACCGAAGACAAAATTCAACAATTCGGGGATTAATTATTGTTTTTTTTATTTAGTTTAATCAATTCATTTCTTTCTTCATAAGCGTAATAGTTCATTGAATCACCTAGATATATTCACTCGTATAGATCAACTACTATCAATGCATAAAAAATAATAGTTGCATCGGATTTGTATGGGAGTGCGCTATTTTCGATTCTTTTTTTTTCATTTTCTATTGAGTTTTAGTTCGAGAGGTATTTCTTCAATATGATTATTATAAAAAGCTAAATTAGTGTTGTAACTACATTGAATAATGAGAATGGAAGATAGTTTTTTTTTATTTTTGTTTCATTGGTTTTTCGTTCCTCGATTCTTTCACGATTTCCAAGCGACTGTCGTTGGCCAATAAGTGAAATGGTCCCTGTGATAAATTGATTTTTCGTTATTAGAAATAAAGTGCCTCGAAAGGATATGGGCCTGGAAAATCAGGTGTTCTTGGCTAAATCCTAAGTGCAGAGCTGGAAGATTATTATTTTTTACACGAAACGCGAAAAATTTTCCCCAACAAAAAACTAATTCACTTGCTAATAAGAAATTTGTTAAAAAAATTGTGTTTATGTTTTTTTCTTCTATCGATTTAATTCCGCAAATCATCAGTTATCAGTGAATTTTGTGTAGAAAGAGTAAATAAATTTTTATTGATATTTTCGGTGCAATTTATTCAGTTGAATTTTTTCTTAATGCACTTTAATAAATTTTTTTGAACTAAAGAATTATTTTTATTTGACTATGATGGAAATGCCCAGCTCTGCCTAAATGAAGCAATTTTCTCCTAGAGAGCAATTAATACACTGTTTTTTCCTAATACAACTAATCCTACGAAATAATCATCACTAAAACTATAATTTTCAATCCGATTTTTAGTCTTGAAAAGAAAATTCACTTTCATTACGCTGTGATACTGGGAAGTTGTCGAAAAATATTTTCCCTTTATTATCTCTCTCGTAAAAATCCGTCAATATCATCTGATACTCGGAGGATTAATCTCGACATTTTTACTGCTTTGATGATATATTATGTAAGGGGTGATCTAGCTTCCGTGGTATGTCTTGTTTTGTTTCCCATTTTGTTATCAATCGGACGGAGAGTAATTACAATTTTTGTTACTTTTCACGCTTTCATTATTGGTGTTCCTCTTCATCAATGTCCCATCCTTCGTGTTAATTATAGTGGCTAGGAGAATTATCTATGCTTTTTTGATTCTCAGTTTCTCTTTGGGCTATTTCACGCCGAATCAGTAATCGTAAAAAATCCATGTCTCCCATTTCCTCCGCAATTTTTTCTATATTTTCTATCATAAGATCAAACCCCGATAAATCATTGAGCGAGAAAAAAAATGTTTTGATTGAATTCAATTGTTTGAAAATTCGACCTTTTTCTTACTAATAAAAAAAGTTGATTTCTTGTAATATTAACGGTGTGCTACACCCACATTTATTGACGTGAAAAAATATAACGTTTTTGTGTTTTGTCATTATTTAATGACTCACCAAGTTTCAAGGTAGTGCTAACATTTTTCTGCGTTTTTTCTAAATTTTTAAAAAGAATCACAAAAAATTAGAAAAAATGCATGAAAATTATCGCACCATTGCAAAACTTCATGAGCCATTAAATAATTACGAATAGCAAAAACATTAGATTTTTTTACATCTACCCTCTCCATAATTTTTCAAAAAAATTTGAAAAACCTGCATTTCGACTATATATGGGCGTGGAACATCCTAATAAAGTTATCGTGAAAACAATTTTTTTCCAAAAATCAGAATAATTATAAACTCATTTTTTTTCACTATGAAAATTTGACACGTCTTTGTCTGATAATTATTTTCTCTTTATACCAATTTCCCTGGAGTTTTATTTATGATACAGATTATAAAAAAATGTCCCGGGTAAAATCGGAGAAAGCGATTTTTCTCGATTGCTGATCTAGAGATGAATTGTCCGTTTAGAAGAGCTTGATTTTTTCTTTGCGTCGAAGCGTAAGGATCGAATATCCCCAGAAAAAGAGGAATATTGAATTCAGTGGCAAAATAAAACCTATTGATTTCCGAAGGAGATATCATTGTTTGTTAGTTATTATTTTTTATTATCGATATCGCTCATATCGTAAAATGACGTATCGTAATTTTAATAATTCGATGTACAGAAATTCAATATTCTTCATATTCCGTGATTCTCCCCCTTGCGATAATTATTATTATACAAAATTTTGTTATTTAAATCCATAAAGGCTACATCGAATAAAACTAGTACAGACATTGCTCAACCAAAAACGGTTGTTAAGCTTTCGTATTGGCACGAAAAATGATGTTTACGGAAGACAAAGAGTTTGAAAAATGGATAATAATCTATAAAATAATGACATCAATCGTGCTGTCTCGTACACGCTAACGGATATGCTTGTAGTAATATAAATTCACTCCATATCAGCGTAAAATATTGATTAAATAGTCCATGAAGAAATAACAAGACGAATACTTTCGAGTGTGAATAATTAATAAAAATACGTAATACACTGTAAATTATGTACAAAACTAAATACTTCTTCGATAGCAAACAGTAATAAATAATCGATAAGTACAATTGCAAGGGTAAAGCTGTAAAATGACTAGTTGTATATATTATTTTTGGTCTGGACTGAAAATAAAATACTGTATTCAAACGACGATAATCTCTTCTGGCAATCCAGGATTTTTGTTCTTTTTTTTTGTTAATCAATTGATTGACCGATCTATGAAAAATCTTGGAATTTTAGTAAAGGAGAGCCGTAATGCGAGACTATTTTCACTTCCGTGTGCCATTGATCTTCAGCGGTCTGGCGATTTCATCTTTTTCTCGAGTGTTTTGGTCTTTCATCTTCGTAAAAATCGGAAGAATCCTCGACTTTTGTCCGGAGGCGGGGCCATTAGCATTGGCACTTGATTTTTATGGGTGATACGTATCTGGAGAGGAATCAATACATCAACAGATTAATTATTTCACCTTCTTCACCGATCAATATCCTTTCCAATATTTCTTTTTCTATCTAAATTTATTGAACCCTAAGGCAATCCTCATTGAATGATCAATTAGTGCACTATTGTCATTTCTGTTAAATTCATTATCGGTTGGAGTTTGATAATTAATTTTTCCGCGGATTATTATAATCAGTGTGAGAATCAATATAATTACCGTGCATGGTCCTTGCATCCAGGGCTCCCCATCAATTTGCATTGGAAATCTTTTGTTAGTTGTAATGGTTACGCTGCTACACTGAGCCAATCGTCTTCCCGATGCCCTCAGCCCCGTTTTAACTTGCCCCATGTGCAGACAATTCTCCAATCCAATCACCTCAATGAGATTATCTCCAATATCCTGAATAGCAACAGTGAGATCCACTGAATTGAAGCTACTAGTGCTCAACTCCTTGTCCGGTCGTTTCTTTCGTTTTCCAAGTCGATGTCGTGCATGATGTTCACCCCATAAATTCGATCCACCATGGGTGAATGGAATGTTCAAGAGTGCGACACCCTGGAGAGACGGGCCATGCGCCAGTTCCAACGGTGTTCCATCGCAAATAATCTCAAGATCCTCATGTAGATTTTTACAGCTTGCGGCAAATTGCTCGGTAGTTGCGTACTCGAAGTACCACAATTTGTTCTTCATGCGACTGTTGAATTTTTCAGGATTTTTCTCACGCTCGAGATGAAATTTAACGCATATCGCAGCATCTACACCAACCGAGAAGTAGTTGTTTATGATATTGTAGGGAATTGAATCGTGATTTGGCTTTTTTTCCTCTTTTTGGTCTGTCACGTCGATCTGCCATCGGTCCATCATTACTGGAGTAGATTTTTCAATTTTTTTCAGAATTTTGTGGATTGCCTCACCCTCGTAACCACCACCCCACCTCAAACAACGGGCCAGGTCGTTACCTGTGCCCAGGGGTATCACACCGATTGCTGGTTGATACTCGAATTGCACTCGGTCCATTGTCTCCAGGACCCATCCAACAGTTCCATCGCCTCCACAACAGATTACCTTGAAGTTTGGTACGTCCTTGAACATCTGGAGTGCTTGCATCGGCCCACCGATGGCTAAATTGTAGACTTGTCGGGGATTCAGAATGTATTGAAATTTTCTGAGCATCCTCTCGCCCTGTCTTCCACCTGATTTTGGATTAATGAAGACCAGCAGTGGAGTTGTTCCTGGCGCTGGCGTTATCTGGAATGACATGGCTGGCTGCTGATTCGAGGAGTTACTCGAACTCAAAAAGGCACCCTACAACAATTATAATCTTCTCAGTGTTGTCCAGTGATTATCCAGTGCTTAGCATGCACCAGATGATGGTGGAGGTAATGCACTAGCTAGTGTTTTAATAATTTCAAGACTTTTACTCACTGAACCAATGGAAGACGTGTCTTGACCATGTTTACTGCCTCTTTTGCTGTCTCTCGATAGCGATCTCTGTCTGTCCAGGACAACTGGACAAATAGCTGTGGGTGGAAGTATGTGTACTCCATGCTCACCGAGATTGCACTCTGCCTTCACTTGGGATACACATCTGTTGTGCAACTGCAAACATTTGTCGAGAGAAATCACAATGAGCGAGTGGGATTTATCTGTACTTTAATCTCGATTAGAGGGTCAACCTAGGGGATTCGTTGGAGGTAGACAATGTTTGCTTTGCTTGTTTGTTGATTTTAGATATTTCTGTTCTAGTATTTATAAATTTCATTTCTCATGAATTTTTTTGTCAATTTGTTTAATGAATTTGTGGAAATGCTCACAGTGAGTTGGCACCAGCGACAGTGGAGTCCAGTAATTCCGTTGTAGCTTTTGATGGTCTTTCTGCATTTTGAACATTTACCGTGACAATTTCCCTCCACCCAGTGGTGGACCATTGTTTGGGATGTTTTCTTACTTTTGACGTATGTAGCTATGCATGAAGCTGGAGCTCGCTGGACACATCTCTCATGCACAGTATATTTGCAAACTAGTTTTCAACAAAAGGAAATAACTTTCATTTTCCAAAGACACATGTGGAAATTCCTACTGACAGTCTCTCAAACATTTTCTCCATTTCCACAAATTGTCATCTCAAAAATTGCAATTACTCTCGAATTATCGCTATCAATAAAAGAAAGTCCAACGCAAAATTCAAACTGTATAAATTAAAATTGTAATCTTTACATTATCGTTTCAAATATTAATTAATATTATATTAACTTGAAAAATTCAGTGTGCAATAACAATAAATGACAAAAATGTGAGAAAATTATAATTATCGGGATTGAGCATCGGTTAAAAGTCAAAGTGACAAATGGCTATTGGAAAATATCTGGAGTTGAGTGAAAGTGCAATGGAAAATTGGAGTTGTATAAATTGAAATGACAATCCAATGTAGAAGCGATTATTCAAGTGAACTCACAAACACAGCAGAGACCCTTCTTGCCAAGTCCTACGAGCATATTTAAACAGAGATTGCAATACGCCGGTTTGCTGAAGTGCTTCAGCCTCCATAAATGATTTCCATCCTCTTTCACATGAGAATCGAGACCGAGAAGCACCAGAAGTGGAATAGTCGTTAATCCACCTCGTTTCCATTCCTCCAGGGATACTGTCCCATCAGCATCGTAATCAATTTCAATCATCATATCTTGGAGTATCTACATGGGTTGTAAAAAGTCCATTAACAGAAATTGAGTAATTAAAATTTGTGACGCGAGGAATTCAACTCAATGGTATTCGTAGTTGTTCATATTGAAAAGATTATTGACTAGTAGAGGCCTGTCCTAGGTTTTAACCATCTTGGGAAGACATGGGGGTCCAAGTTGTGCTCGTCAATTTAATTGGCAATCATTAATTAGGAGGGGCTGATGAGTTTCACATTGGGTCATTATTTCTCCATTTGTTTTTTCAAAATTTCGGACGCAAGAAGAAATTTTTCTATGAAGTTAAAGGCAATTTATTTAATTATTCAATTCATTAGCTGTCCTTCGTCGAACATTTACTTCTCACGAATTGGCAATAAAATTATAAGGGTAGAGGAATTCTATGGAAGAGATTGTTAATTCCATTTATTTATCTAATTTATTGGATTAATTACCGGTTTGTGGGTTTAAAGGAAGGCAGTGGAACTTTAATTTAGACCCGTAAAATTGTCGCTTTATGGGACAGTAATTATAATGAGTCATTGGTATAACTCGAGACTTGCAGTGAATAAATTGGAAGATAATGGAGTTAGTTACTTACGGGTTTTAACTCTGATACGTCCCAACCGAGATATTCGGCGACGTTCATCATTTGGTTAACAATACAGTCCATTTCCTGAAACAAGGGTATAACGAAGTTGACGTGGGGGAAATTCGTGATTCGGGTTTTTTCCAGCGTGAAAAGGGATTTTTTTTTTAGTTGAAGGGCAGCTAGAGAGGAAAATGCTCTAGTCAAAACGTCATTTTCTCCTCCCGTCTGTTGCAAGTTGAATAAAAATATTTCAAATTGAAAATTCAGAGAGGAAAATCAAGATTGAATTAATAAATACAATGTAAAAATTTTTTTATATAAACAAAAATAATTAATATTATGTTAATTATTAATTATTATTCCTTATTATTAATTTATAATTGTACAGATATTTAAATGTTCTGGAGAATTATTTACTGAAATTTTATGGAACGAAATGAATTTCGTGGGGAATTATAATCTGTTTGACATTTAAAGACCACAATCTGGTTATTGCAGTGAAAATTTATTAACAGTGAAGCATGATAACATCAAAGGGAATATGAGAGGAATTTCTCATCTTCATTGATAGCTAGGGCTGGGAAAAAGTGTAGACTCACATTTGTATCCAGTACGCCATTACCGTCTGTGTCGTAGAGACGAAACATAACTGAAAAGTAGTAATGGGGTTGATAAATTTGAAGGTATGCGTGAGGGAATAAATAAGTACAAGTTTAGCAAACGTACATTCCAATTTGTCTTCGGGTCGACCGGCTTCCAGGAGTGACAGGTAGCAGACAATATCTTTTAGACTCACTTTGACAGAGTGCACGTCGATGGTACTCTGTTTCCTGACAATGTGTCGCATTTCTGGAATAATCAACAGGCAATATGAATATTTTTATTGATTCAAGACAGAATTTCTTCGGAAAATCTTCAATTATTCAACAAACTCTTCAACAACAGGAATTATTAAAATGGAAGAATCATTGATGAGAAACACATGATGAGAAAAAAAAATGTCAAGTCACTCGTATAATTGAATCAGTGAAAATTACCGCACCTTCCTTCAATCGCAATCCTGAAATATTTTTTATGTGATCCATCTCGTGTCTCACTACACGAGAATTTTTTTCTCTCCAAACTCCGAGTGTCATAAAATTGCCGTAAAAAAATAATCCAACCAATGACTATTATTGAAGTTTTGAGGCCTAAACTGGGGGAGATATTTTGCAGAAATAAAATATAATCTAGTGAGACTCAGTGAAACACTTGTTGCCTCGCGTGCAATCAGCGTAAAACTGAAACGAAAGATTTACCCGCACTAGTCATCACTCTTTGCAATCCGTTTTATCCCGACTCATGACGTCACACTGGCAAATTTTTAAAAGGGCGAAAGAGAGAGGTCTCGGGGCATTTATTTATTTATAGAAATGTCCGATCGTAGCACGTGCTGTTGCCAAGGTGTAGTCTGAGTATTTGAGTTTTTGTGGCAATTGATATTAAATGAACACTAGAATTTTTTATTAACCACAAACTCCACCCGAATCCTTTAAATAACCATTTACCTTGAAAATTCACCAATATTTTGTTATTCATCGTGAGCGACTATTGATATTTCTTTAATTCAGTAGAGAAGTTGCTAAATGCCTCGAATTCATTTTTACTCATCAGTTTTTTGTGAATATCTCCGAATCGTGGAGTGATATCACAATTTTAGTTATTATCTTTTTTGTTGGGGTCATTAAGAGCTGTAAAAAAGGTCTTGGGGAAATTTTCGGTATCTTTTTCAGATCCAGAGATATTTATGAAAAACTCATACTTCATTTAGATAATCAAGAACACAGCGAAATCGTGAAATTTTTCGAAATGTTCTGATTTATTTTTAAATAATTGACGGATTAATTAACAAAATTAATGAACAACTTCAATTATAATATTGTTTTAAATACGTACATTCGTATTTAGTTAATTTTAATATTCTTATTTAAATACTAATTAATGACTAGAGTAATTGTCTTACAGTCTATGAAAAATTCGCGAGTAATCACTATAAGCGGAAAAGGGAGCGGTGATTCCGCGAATGATTCGAGCGATTTCGAATCAATCGTCCGGAAATAACCCAGACGATTTCGTCTGGAGGAATTGAAAAAAATGAACAGACGGTATTTACCGTTGAACGATAAACAAAACGTCTGACGGCGCTAAAATTCACGAAGGAGATGCGTTTCCTGGGGCTTGAATTTTCACTTCCTAGTTTTGATATTACAAATTTAGATGGTAAACGTTGGCCAGATGGATTTACCAAAATACTTTGCAGTTGTGTGTGTTACATGGACAAATTGTCATTACGATGGTCATGCCGACGTTGACGACTTTGACAGCGCAACGACCTGACGATTTATTCTTATGGGAAAATACGGAAAATTGTTTTCCAGGAAAATTATTGTCTTCAGATTTTCGTTTTTTCAAGGAATTGATCATGTGGGGATTTTTGGCAAATATTCAATGATCATTATCATGACGCAGAGATTCGCAGAGCGATTTCTCGGAATAATTGGCCATTTTTTAAATTATTTCTTGGAATTATAAGTGATGGTGTCTATTTACGTGATTGTTGTTTATTTAATTATGTTAGAAGAGTGCCTCAGATTTGCAGACACAAACTTTATTTTTTTATTTTAGTTTTAATTAATGGATTCTCTGTGGTTTTGACGGAATTGAATCCGGATTGATTCCGCGACTTTTCTCTATTTCCTGTTCGCTTCAATCTCTTCTACTATTTTAAACAAACGTATTAACAATTTCCGTGCTAAAAAAATTATTTAGAAAAGTAGATAAAATAGTAAAAATGATAAAAATAAAAATTATTGAAATTTTTAGAAACGATGACGTGATATTTTTTTTAATAAACAATTCAAGTAATAACGTCCCTGAATTTTCAACCTATCGAGTAATTAATTGTGTTCGATATTGAATCTTTCAAATTTCGATTGAGAAATCAATTATCAATATCATAAAAACCCGATGTTTATCGAAGATTCAAAATAAATTAGAAATCCAGTGACAGTTTTGAATTGAAATTGAATTCAAATTCCTAGAACTGAAAATCCAGACGATTCACTTAAATTTCAATAAATTTCTGACAGTAATGTAAATAATTAAATTACAATTTATCTCGTAATTATTGAATAAGTGCAGCTCTCTGTCCTCCAATCCACTAATTAATTTCTTCAAGCCTCAACAAATTGATTGAATAATTAAATAAATGTTCGGCTTCATTTACTTTGCAGCCTAAAGCAAACAGAATAATTATAAATAATTCTGGGATGATGGGATTAATCATGTGCGTAAATCAAACAGAGAATCGGACATTTCCGAAATTTATCGAATTCAAAAATGGCGACAATTGGTGTTTTACGGAGAAAACATTTGCTTTGTGCAGGAGTTACTAATTATTCAGACTGATTACCCGAGCCCACGGTATCCCAAAATGTAATGATAAACCTGTCAATTTTCCAATGAACGTGAAAATCCTCTGAGTATATTTTTCATCACCCGAATCGGTAAAACGAGTCCAAAAGAAAATGCGTTTTCCAGATTAAAGTTCAATTGGTTTTTCACCCGTGAAGAAGAGATCGATTACGTCTAATGCTGATGAATTGATCCTATGTGATGGAAAATTATTGCTTTTACTCTCTGTTTGTCCACGATCAATCTCAAATTTGCTCTTCCATACCTACAGCTATTCTTTCGGTTGATTTTTATCGCAACTATTGGTAAACAATAAAAATTGTTCAATCGAAATGTCAATGATTGTAATCCAGTTTGAAGTCTCTCTGGGGATCGATTGGGGGTGCGTTGGGAGGGTCTTTTATGGGATATATAATGCAGGACTTCCTCCTTTGAGACTTTGACGAAAAAAAAATATTTGACGGCTCCAGTTTCACCACGAGGGGTGCCCTTTTTATTCCTCTCGTTTTTGTGTCAGCAGAAAGTTTATAGTATCGGGCAAAATAAAAAGATGTGGTCGACAACTTCATAATATGATTTTTCTCGAGAATTGTGTCGTATTCTTTTACGTCTCAGATAAATAAAGAAATGGAGCACTTGCTAATTCTATTTTTTTATTCTTCGAGAAGTTTGCAACTTTGAGAGTAGTCTACACACTGAGAGAAATATTCAATAAAAATTACGTGTATTTTCCGTAATTCTGGAGCGAAATGTGGTGGTCGGAAATTTTACGGAACTGCCACGTAATTTTTATCTAAATTCACGGAATTTTTTCGCGGTGTTCCGTAATTTTTATCTGAATTATCGGTGAAAAATAACGATACCGTCACTTAAATTTTTCGAGTCAACTCCGTAATCGGTAAGTGAACTGAAAGTTCCATAATTTTTACTAAATATTTCTCTCCGTGCACTGTTAATAATTCTTCGGCATTTTTTGTACAATATTTAATAAAAAATTCAGGTTTTAGGCATGAAATTTAGGCTATTGAATGAAAAATTCATTATTCCGTAGATTTTTTAATAAATTGGACGGAGTGTTATTACGGGGGATATTCCAGTTTATTGATGATGAGATTGAATATTAAGGTTGTTGTCGCGCAGAATTTTATTTCGACAGTTTTCGTTTAAACCTTTATGGTGAATAGGTTGAAAAAATAGCTCCAAAATGAGCCCTTTCCATTTGCAGTTGACCGTTTTGAACTTGAGATATAAATTTTTGAAATTCGAGTGATTTAACACGTGTTTAAATGGAGTTTCACCGATTAGAATTTTTTTTAAATCCACGGCTCGACAGTTTGAGAAATAAAAAAAAACGTGGAATACACATCGTGGGAGAAAATGCAGAACAAAAAATCAAATCGATTGACCGTTTGGTTTACGCAATATAATTATCGAAAATTCATAAATTTATATAATTTAAAATAGTTAAAATGGAAAATATATAGTTATGCTTTAACTATTCATGCACAATGCAATCAATCAAGTGAGACTATATACCGTCAAAAGATTGTGTTCTAAACTGGCCCGTTTCACAGCGAATAAACTTTTTATAGAGACTGTCGCGCGACAACAACCTTAATTGAAGATTTTACGAGATTCAATTCCGAAAATTGAGATGAGAATTTTTGAAGATGTGGAGATTTTCGGGATAGGATCTTTAGGATTGAATTTTGATTTTTAAGTCCAAGTACCTTCTAGTTTTCCATTGTTCACGAGGAGCGAATTATTGGACTTTCTTGATGAATTTCTGGAGACTTGGCTGTGACTTGGACTGCTATCTGTACTTTTCTTTTCGAGAACGTCGTGACAGCTGTACGAAGTGTGAGCCACTGTCAGCATCGGGTGAACACTTCCTGCAATTGTAAATAATTATCCTAATAATTATATGACATTTATTGCATTATAGCAACAATTACCATTGTGGAACTCAATTTTTTGGTTGAGAGTAATGAATTGTCCCGGATAACGGAAACAATCCAAACGTTTTGGAAATTTCGCGAAATTTAATGCAATTCTATCATTTAAATTTCGAAATTCCTTAAGATTTTCTTGGAACTATGATTGATGAATTATGATGAAAATTTCAGGCAAATGTATTGGAGAATTACTATTAAAAATTTTCCGAGTTTGCAATTATGAAATTCTTTGGAATTCCAGTGGAATTAGGAGTTTAATGAAAATTCTGAGACAATACCTGTTCGGGTGCGAGCTGATGCCTCACTGTCGGCCCTGTGATGTCCAAGTGCCTGAATTTTCTCGGTGAGACCATGAATTTTATCAGCCAATGAGGATCCATGACTCTCGCTAGTTGCTGTTGTTAAACCAGTGCTGTTAACATTAGTATTTGAAGTCGTGTGCGAAGTTATGGCGGCACACGCTGTTGTCGAGGATAATGCCGCCATTTCCTGAAGTAATAGTTCCCCATAAGAAAATATCAATTTCACCATCACCCCCGAGAATTTGCCAGAAAAATAAGTAAGAAGAAATCTCCCGCAATTTTTTTTTCATTAATCAACTACTTAATGTCAGCCTCTAATAATTTCGGAGTAGTCAATTTTTCCGATACCCGTTATCAGCCGATATCTCGAAATCAAAGCGCCATAGTGATTTTTTTGCCAAGACATTTTGCCTAGAAAAAATCAAGGGCTACAAAAAAGGTATTCTCATAAATATCGCTATCTCCCTTCAATTCCAAGATATTCGCTGAAAACTGCTGTTGACAACCGAATGGCTCCTGTCATTGAATCGTTGAAACAATTTCCCACTCGATTGTTAATAGAAAATCCATAATGGAAATATTAATTGGCGATGCGGCGAGGTGTGATAATTAAAAAATACAAAAATTTTTCCTTCGGCGAAGGGAAATGAGAAGAAAGTCTCTATCAAAACCGCTGATACGAAATGAGTTCTTGGGAATTTCGGACGCGTTGGAGGAAAAAATGGAGCAACTGGGGTTCATATAGATGGTAATTTTCACTTGTAAAAAATTTATTGTCGTCGTATATGAATTCTTACGGATTCATATATTCACGGTGCGATCTACTTTTGAATTCATATGACCACGGATGTATTTGGATTTCTTGGTCATGGGTTGTGGTAAATTGAAGGTGAAGTTATGCCTATACTGGATGGTCATGTCGGTCATTTGATCCAAGATGGTGTGGACATGGTGTTAATCAGTCGTTAACGGGTGGAGGGATAAGGGAGAAAAAATTATTGGATCGTATCGGGTACTTACTTTGAATGCTTTGCCATCGACATTCTTCGATCCCTTCTTGAGGAACGACAGGAATAGGTGTCGGGATAACTCGTCGGGTGTGGCAACCTCCAGGTATGTGTCCAAGAATTTGCGAAAACCCTCGTAATCGATATCCTGGAACACCAATTTTGCTAATAAATATTTTGAAATTCCAATAAATTATTACTCATTTTTCAACCGTCTTCATTTTATAATTTAACATTATTTACACCTGTCAGTAATTATTATTTATGAATTTCATGAACAATATGAATTCCCGTCCGGTCGATTGAATTCCTCTGGAATTCCTCTGGAAGAATTCCCCGGAAATTTCCTGTGACGTCTCGCAACGAAAAATGTCAAGTGCTATTTTTTTATTAAACATTTCATTTTGAATTATTCAATTTATTTATAAATTTATTTCAATTATTAATCCATTCTACGACTCTCAGTAATTATTAATTAAAAATTCAATCAATAACATTAACTTGCGGACTACAGCTGATCAAATTTATTTCTCTATTTTTAATTCTTTATTAATGAATTAATTAATTTTAAAATCGTTTAAATGTTGACATAATTTTTGTATACATTCACTTTATTTTTATTTCCAATTTCATATATATTCTGCATACATACATATAATTAATTAATAAATCCGATTTATTCAAGTATTAAATCGAAAATTATACTGAAAAAGTCATATCAAATAAATATAAGTAAAAATTATCTAGGTTATTATAAATTATTTGAGGGAGGGGAGGATAAAATGGATCCTCTCTTTTATTATATTTTCCAAGTTTTTTCCTTATTTTTTATAGAAAAGTAGGGGCGGGACGATTCGTTGATGTGTGTTTGAATTTCATCTTTAATTCATTAACACGGAGTTTTTATTTTGTATACTAATTTCAACTGATGAATCCTTCAATAATTATAAAGATCTGATTACTGATACGATTAAAATCATTTGCACAAAGCAAAAATTAATTGTTTTTTATAATCTTGGCGAGTCAATTCGGGAGCATTGGAAAAAAAAATCGTGAGAGGAGAAAGAATCGAAAGTGCATTTACCACCTTCCCCCACCTACCCCCACCTACCCCCACCTTCCCCCCAAAATTTTCGTTTCGTCGACGCGTTGCATAAATTTAGGTGGATGCGTAAGAGGGTAAGGGTCTCGTCATCTGAGCAGTAAAAATAGTTGAGGAACGAGTTCCTATTGAGGGAATCCATTTTACCCCCTCTCCCCAGGAAAATAATGATTGCAATCTTTATTTCTTTAAATCGAAATTATTGACTCCCTCTCCACTTCATTATTGAATCACCCTGAATTATTTAATAAAAAAACAAATCATTATTCCACATGAAGGAAAATGCAAGGCGTAACCCAGTTTCAGCATTTGTGCGGAACAGTGAGCGGGTTAAAAGTTCCTCCTCGGTGACATTTATTGATGCGGGTACCTTACCCATATTGTACGCCAATACCCACCTCTGGATGACGGTAATTTTCCTCTTTTTTTCTCTCCTCTTTCACTTGCAATTTTTTCTATCCCCCTCCACTTTTTCCATTAACCACCACGATAAAGTTACAACTTGGTGGGAGGTAACAAGGGGCGAAGGTGGAAAGGGGGGAGGGGGGGGGGGATAACATTGCTTGAGGTGTTGTCTCATACAGGGCGAATACTTTTTTTTTAATAATTTTTTTGTTTATCCAGAGGACAAAGGAACTTCATGATGAAAATTGCAAAATCAAGTTCTCGAGTACTCGAAAAAAAAAATGATTCACAAATCGATTGATGAATCATGACTGATTATAATTATTAGTAGTTGATGAGTCTTTATGGAATTTGTGGAGGGAGAGGGGAGGAAAAAGCCTTTGAAATTGGTAATTGAAATGTAATTGACTTTGTGAATTGTTCTGTTATTTTTAGGAGAGATTTATAGACATAAATATAATAACAGTCTTTGGGTGATGGGTTTTTTTTTGTAGACCATTTGGAAATTGATGGAATATTTTGGTAATTGATCGAATTGCACTGGTAGGATTGTTATGAGAACGAGGGGAGGGGGTGAATGTACATTATCCGTTGGAGACACTCTTGCCTGCAGTTTATGTCCCACTGGAAAAATATCTGGGTGACGTTATTCAAGTAAATGGCCGCGATAAAACAGAAAAACAAAATTTATTGTACTTTTTGCGTCAATCTATATTTTATCGGATGAATATGTCCCCTCGGGGAGCTATTGATCGGGGAAATTTAATTGGTTGTTGGATATCTCGAGTTGAGTTTTAGTTGTACAGACACTTGTCCGGTGGAGTTTCAATTATTGATGAATGTTCATCAGATTTTGTATTTATAAATGCGAATTTACGGCGGAATATTTTATTGATTAGAATTCATTGGAATATATGGTGGGATTTGAAGGTTTCGGTGGTGATGTTTATGATTTACAGCACCAGTTATTGCTTCGTTAATTTCAAACTGCTGTTCTTGCATTTATGACCGTGAAAATTTTATAACGGTTCCATGAAGTTACGAAATTTAATTTTATCGTGTGGTAGCTACGGGTTTTTAATTTTTATGGATTCTCCAGGTTTTACCACTCATTGGATTGATATTGTTATAACTTATTTTATCACTTATCAGATTTTAGCAATTCACAATTGTGGGAAAATTCAGGGAAAATGTCCTAGAATTGTCAGCTCTTCGATATTTTATGGAAAATTTAAAAGTTAAATTTTTTTCAATCAAGATCGGCAATTCATTGGCATTTTTATGGTTATGGAATTGATCAAAATTGGAATCGTTTCTATATTTTCAATTTCTTGAAATTTCCCTGATCATTCAGTGAAATGCATTCACTAAAATGAAAATTTCCCGCGGAAAAAGTCAAGAAAAATAAAAAATCGTGAAAAATTACTCTACCACTAAAAATTAATATCTAATATATTTATATATTTATAATATATATAGATTGATATATTTTCATCAAATCTAAATATATCCCCGCTAAAATTATATACCCGAGTTATAATTATCGAATTAAATCGAATACTAAAAGAAATCCTTAGAATTTCCCCAGATTTTCCCCTTCAACGAATGAAATCCGAAGCAATTTCGCAATTTTTCATTAACAGTGAATTTCGATGTGATGGGAGGAGGAAGGAAAAGAAAAGAGAGAAAAGCAGAAAAAAGGGGTGGAAAGGGGAGGAAAGGGGTGGAAAGGGGTGGAAAAAAGACGAGTAGACGAGGGGCTGTTGGTACAAACGAGATATAAACCCTCCATTAACGTTTTCCCAACGGAAAAAGCACAGGCGAATGCTCAACGATCCGAGTTGGAAGACGTGACGTCATTGGTTTGGACTGACGTCATGGTTTAGTCGTCACGCGCAGCAACCCGACAAAATCGGGTCAATGCGCATCCCCTTTCTCCACCCCATCCTCTTAACCACCCACTTTCCACCCAACCACCCACTCCCCCCGCCCATAACGTATTTTTTGTCATTCCCTGCACGTCGAGGGCCGTCGACTCAAACACAATCGGATTTTCCGAATGAGAATTCGCCTTACTTGTCGTTAATGAAAATTATAGGTTTTTCTCATCCGGAAAAATATATATTTTCATAATTATATTTTTTTTGTTATGGAAATCTGAAATTGTTTATATATTATATGTATTTTATTTGAATCTTGTTATTATATTTATTTATTTATTTATTTATTTATTCATTTATATTTTGTAATGATTAATAATGCGGAGTATAGATGATTGTTTATTGATTGTTGTATATTTTTCATCGATTCTTTCGTGGGGCTCGTCGAAGTAAACTTTGAAGTTTGGAAAAAAAATTTTGAAAATCTAGTCTTCCAATTTTTTCTACTGAAATTTCAATTTGTAAGAAAAATTATAATAGTTTTGTGGAATTGAGAAAAGGGAATTACGATGTCAGAGTAAATATTTACGAGAGGTAATTTAACTATAAATTTTCATCCGCGTGACAGTCGAAAACGTCGAGGGAATAAATGTAACGGAGAAAATTGCATGAACGTGAATATTTTTGCATTAAATTTCTGGGACATTTCTTGAAAAGAGATGTAAAAGTTTCTTGATGTTGAAAAAAAAATGGTGAGAATAATTTAAGGAGGAAAATTATTTTATCTCGCTCATCTCTTTGGAGAGTGAAGAAAATTGGAAAATTTCCTCATTTCAGCGACTCAAAAATATTAAATTTCAAATTACACCCTTAAACACTCTGACAAATCCTTTATTTTCAGTATTCCGTTCATCCCAGTAGAATTCAATGATTTCTATTCTTTTGATGTTATAACATTATTACTATTACATTTATTATTACATATTACAATTAAGGTGGTTGTCGCGCGACAGTCTCTGTAAAAAGTTTATCCGCTGTAAAAAGGGCCAGTTCAGAACACAATCTTTTAGCGGTATATAGTCTCACTTGATTGATTGCATTGTGCATGGATAGCTAAAGCATAACTATATATTTTCCATATTAACTATTTTCAATTATATAAATTTATGAATTTTCGATAATTATATTCCGTAAACCAAACGGTCAATCGATTTGATTTTTTTTTCTGTATTTCCTCCCACGATGTATATTCCACGTTTTTTTTTATTTCTGAAACTGTCGAGCCGTTGATTTTTAAAAAATTCTAATCGGCAAAACTCCATTTAAACACCTGTTAAATCACTCGAATTTCAAAAATTTATATCTCAAGTTCAAAACGGTCAATTGCAAACGGAAAAGGCTCATTTTGTTGCTAATTTTCCAAACTATTCACCACAAAATTGTTAACGAAAACTGTCGAAAAAAAATTCTACGCGACAACAACCTTAAATGATTTTTCGTCCTCAGCGTTGACGTCAATTCTCAAATGAAAAAAATGTTAATCCCCCAAATGAACAGAACTCCAGTCTCGATAATTCGCGGAGAATTAGTTCATAAAACCGAGGGTAAAATAAAATGGAGTTATTTTTCCAAATGAACAATTATAATGCCAAGAATAGATCCGGAATGCCAGACCCTGAAGTCTACGTTAAACAAACGATGTATGTAGAATGAATGTACTTTGGAATGAATAGACATTGAGTCGATATGTGGGGGGAGGGG